ACGGTTCTCTCTCTCACTGCTCACACAGTTCTCTCTCTCACTGCTCACATAGTTCTCTCTCTCACTGCTCACACGGTTCTCTCTCTCTCACTGCTCACACAGTTCTGTCTCTCACTGCTCACACGGTTCTCTCCCTCACTGCTCACACAGTTCTCACTCACTGCTCACACGATCTCTCTCTCACTGCTCACACGGTTCTCTCCCTCACTGCTCACACAGTTCTCTCCCTCACTGCTCACACAGTTCTCTCCCTCACTGCTCACACGGTTCTCTCTCTCACTGCTCACACGGTTCTCTCTCTCACTGCTCACACGCTTCTCTCCTTCACTGCTCAAACTGTTCTCTCCCTCACTGCTTACACAGTTCTCTCTCACTGCTCACACAGTTCTCTCTCTCACTGCTCACACGGTTCTCTCTCTCTCACTGCTCACACGGTTTTCTTTCTCTCATTGCTCACACGGATCTCTCTCTCATTGCTCACACGGTTCTCTCTCTCATTGCTCACACGGTTCTCTCTCTCATTGCTCACACGGTTCTCTCTCTCATTGCTCACACGGTTCTCTCTCTCTCACACGGCTCACACACAGTTCTCTCTCTCATTGCTCACACAGTTCTCTCTCTCACTGCTCACACAGTTTTCTCTCTCTCACACAGTGCTCACACACAGTTCTCTCTCTCACTGCTCACTCAGTTCTCACACTCATTGCTCACACAGTTCTCTCTCTCACTGCTCACACAGTTCTCTCTCGTTGCTCACACAGTTCTCTCCCTCACTGCTCACACAGTTCTCTCTCTGCTCACACACTTGTCTTTCACTGCTCACACAGTTCTCTCTCTCTCTCTCACTGCTCACACAGTTCTCTCTCACTGCTTACATAGTTGTCTCCCTCACTCCTCACACAGTTCTTTCGCTCACTGCTCACACAGTTCTCTCTCACTGCTCACACAGTTCTCTTTCTCTCACTGCTCACACAGTTCTCTCTCACTGCTCACACAGTTCTCTGTCACTGCTCACACAGTTCTCTGTCACTGCTCACACAGTTCTCTCTCACTGCTCACACAGTTCTCTCTCACTGCTCACACAGTTCTCACTGCTCACACAGTTTTCTTTCTCTCACTGCTCACACAGTTCTCTCTCACTGCTCACACAGTTCTCTGTCACTGCTCACACAGTTCTCTCTCAATGCTCACACAGATCTCTCTCTCATTGCTCACACGGTTCTCCCTCTCATTGCTCACACGGTTCTTTCTCTCATTGCTCACACTCTCTCACTGCTCACACGGTTCTCTCTCTCTCACTGCTCACACGGTTCTCTCCCTCACTCCTTACACGGTTCTCTCCCTCACTGCTCACACAGTTCTCTCTCACTGCTCACACGGTTCTCTCTCTCACTGCTCACACAGTTCTCTCTCTCACTGCTCACACAGTTCTCTCTCACTGCTCACACAGTTCTCTCTCTCACTGCTCACACAGTTCTCTCTCTCACTGCTCACACAGTTCTCTCCCTCACTGCTCACACAGTTCTCTCTCTCACACAGTTCTCTCTCACTGCTCACACTCACTGCTCACACAGTTCTCTCCACTCACTGCTCACACAGTTCTCTCCCTCACTGCTCACACAGTTCTCTCACTGCTCACACAGTTCTCTCAGTTCTCTCTCACTTCTCACACTGCTCACACTGTTCTCACTGCTCACACAGTTCTCTCTCACTGCTCACTCTCTCTCTCACTGCTCACACAGTTCTCTCTCTCACTGCTCACACAGTTCTCTCTCTCACTGCTCACACAGTTCTCTCTCTCACTGCTCACACAGTTCTCTCTCTCACTTCTCTCACACAGTTCTCACAGTTCTCTCTCAATGCTCACACAGTTCTCTCTCTCATTGCTCACACGGTTCTCTCTCTCATTGCTCACACGGTTCTCTCTCTCATTGCTCACACGGTTCTCTCTCTCATTGCTCACACGGTTCTCTCTCTCTCATTGCTCACAGGGTTCTCTCATTGCTCACACGGTTTTCTCTCTCTCATTGCTCACACGGTTCTCTCTCTCACTGCTCACACAGTTCTCTCTCATTGCTCACACAGTTCTCTCTCTCACTGCTCACACAGTTCTCTCTCATTGCTCACACAGTTCTCTCCCTGACTGCTCACACAGTTCTCTCCCTCACTGCTCACACAGTTTTCTCTCGCTCACTGCTCACACAGTTCTCTCCCTCACTGCTCACATTGTTCTGTCTCACTGCTCACACAGTTCTCTCGTCACTGCTCCCACAGTTCTCTCTCATTTCTCACACTGTTCTCTCCCTCACTGCTCACACAGTTCTCTCCCACTGCTCACACTGTTCTCTCTCTCACTGTTCACACAGTTCTCTCTCTCACTGCTCACATACTTCTCTCTGTCTCTTATTTGTCAAATAGTTCTCTCTTTCACTGCTCACACAGTTTTCTCTCTCACTGCTCACACAGTTGTCTTTCACTGTGTTACGGACCCGAGCCCTGCGTCATTGCACGGAGCTGTGACGACAACGCCATCTGTGAGTCAGCTCCCGAAACCCCGTCCAAATGGGCGACGCCATATAACGAGGGCGGGATATACCGGCCACAAAGGCTGGTTTCCCGTCTTAATCAGCTCGTGACATAGCCGCTGCTGACCTCTGGTGAGGTGGCGCTTAGACAGCAACGCCATCTATGGAGTGGACGTTTGTGTCTAAGCCTGTGAGTGAGGTGCCCAGAGTGTCCCTCTATTAATGACGTGTCACAGAGTCGACCTGGGACTGCTGTACACGATGGGGCAGTCTACCCAAGGCAGCCATAGTCTCTCCACGTTCTTGCTCTGCAGAAGCAGTAAGTCACCCCCGGACGAACACTGCTCACACAGTTAGCCTGCCTCACGTGGCTCCAGGAATCGCCTTATCTGGGGGCTGCTCACAGAGACTAGCCACTGTGGTGCAGAGAGAGGAGAGTGATGTGCGGAATCACACGAGGCTCCTGCCTAGGGCTCGCAACCCTAGTATCGATCGTGGAGTGGCCTACACAGCGGAGCTGATCAGAACCTGCCAGCTACAGGCTGGATTTGTGGTTGAAGGCCTGCACGACGGTGCACCCAGTGGGACTGTGATTTGGCTGGCCTGTGGCCGGGGTAGATTCGCAGAGAGAATCTGAGGATTCATCGTGGGCCACGACGAAGAGAACCAGGGCTACTCATCGTGAGCACCGTGGAGCATCCCGTGTCTTCAGAGGAAGACGATTCTGTACATTGTGTATTTATACCCCCTGTGTGACAGTTTATATATTTATTTATGGTGGTGGTGATTATATATAGATATCTAAGCTTTTGTATCCCTTCCCCTTTAATTTACTTGCGTTACAGAACACACCCCTTGAAAGCCACTACTAACTTGGGGCCGGAAACCCAAACTCTAATAACACCAGAGGAGAACCGGGTTACGCCCCAGCAAGGCCGTAACACACTGCTCACACAGTTCTCTCTCTCACTGCTCACACAGTTCTCTCTCACTGCTTACACAGTTCTCTCTCTCACTGCTCACACAGTTCTCTCGCTCACTGCGCACACCGTTCTCACTGCTAACACAGTTTTCTCTCTCTCACTGGTCACACAGTTCTCTCTCACTGCTCACACAGTTCTCTCTCACTGCTCACACAGTTCTTTCTCACTGCACACACAGTTGTTTCTCTCACTGCTCACACACTTCTCTCTCACTGCTCACACAGTTCTCTCCCTCACTGCTCACACAGTTTTCTCTCTCTCATTGCTCATACGGATCTCTCTTTCATTGCTCACACGGTTCTCTCTCTCATTGCTCACACGGTTCTCTCTCTCATTGCTCACATGATTCTCTCTCTCATTGCTCTCACACTGTCCTCTCTCTCATTGCCCACACAGTTTTCTCTCTCTCATTGCTCACACGGTTCTCTCTCTCATTGCTCACACGGTTCTCTCTCTCATTGCTCACACAGTTCTCTCTCTCATTGCTCACACGGTTCTCTCTCTCATTGCTCACACGGTTCTCTCTCTCATTGCTCACACAGTTTTCTCTCTCTCATTGCTCACACTGTTCTCTCTCTCATTGCTCACACGGTTCTCTCTCATTGCTCACACGGTTCTCTCTCATTGCTCACACGGTTCTCTCTCTCATTACTCACACGGTTCTCTCTCTTATTGCTCACATGGTTCTCTAATTGCTCACACGGTTTTCTCTCTCTCATTGCTCACACGGTTCTCTCTCTCATTGCTCACTCGTTTCTCACACTCATTGCTCACACAGTTTTCTCTCTCTCATTGCTCACACGGGTCTCTCTCTCTCATTGCTCACTCAGTTCTCTCTCTCACTGCTCACACAGTTCTCTCTCACTGCTCACACAGTTCTCTCCCTCACTGCTCACACAGTTCTCTCCCTCACTGCTCACACAGCTCTCTCCCTCACTGCTCACACAGTTTTCTCTCTCTCACTGCTCACACACTTCTCTCTCATTGCTCACGCAGTTCTCTCTCACTGCTCACATAGTTGTCTTTCACTGCTCACACAGTTCTCTCTCTCTCACTGCTCACACAGTTCTCTCTCACTGCTTACATAGTTGTCTCCCTCACTCCTCACACAGTTCTTTCGCTCACTGCTCACACAGTTCTCTCTCACTGCTCACACAGTTCTCACAGCTCACACAGTTTTCTTTCTCTCACTGCTCACACAGTTCTCTCTCACTGCTCACACAGTTCTCTCTCACTGCTCACACAGTTTTCTGTCACTGCTCACACAGTTCTCTCTCGCTGCTCACACAGTTCTTTCTCTCACTGCTCACACAGTTCTCTCTTACTGCTCACACAGTTTTCTCTCAATGCTCACACAGATCTCTCTCTCATTGCTCACACGGTTCTCCTTCTCATTGCTCACACGGTTCTCTCTCTCATTGCTCACAGGGTTCTCTCTCTCATTGCTCACACTGTTCTCTCTCTCATTGCTCACAAGGTTCTCTCATTGCTCACACGGTTTTCTCTCTCTCATTGCTCACACGGTTCTCTCTCTCACTGCTCAAACAGTTCTCTCTCTCATTGCTCACACAGTTCTCTCCCTGACTGCTCACACAGCTCTCTCCCTCACTGCTCACACAGTTTTCTCTCGCTCGCTGCTCACACAGTTCTCTCCCTCACTGCTCACATTGTTCTCTCTCACTGCTCACACAGTTCCCTCGTCACTGCTCACACAGTTCTCTCTCATTTCTCACACAGTTCTCTCCCTCACTGCTCACACAGTTCTCTCCCACTGCTCACACAGTTCTCTCACTCACTGCTCACACAGTTCTTTCTCTCACTGCTCACATACTTCTCTCTCTCTCTCCTATTTTTCAAATAGTTCTCTCTGTCACTGCTCACACAGTTTTCTCTCTCACTGTTCACACAGTTCACTCTCTCACTGGTCACACAGTTCTCTCGCTGCTCACACACTTCTCTCTCACTGCTCTCACAGTTCTCTCCCTCACTTATCACACAGTTTTCTCTCACTGCTGACACAGTTCTCTCTCACTGTTCTCACATTTCTCTCTCACTGTTCACACAGTTTTCTTTCACTGTGTTACGGACCCGAGCCCAGCGTCGTAGCACGGAGCTGTGACGACTACGCCATCTGTGAGTCAGCTCCCGGAACCCCCTCTAAATGGGCGACGCAATCTAGCGAGGGCGGGATATACCGGCCACAGGGGCTGGTTTCCCGTCTTAATCAGCTCGTGACATAGCCGCTGCTGACCTCTGGTGAGGTGGCGCTTAGACAGCAATGCCATCTATGGAGTGGATAGGTGGACGTTTGTGTCTAAGCCTGTGAGTGAGGTGCCCTAGAGTGTCCCTAGTAATAATGACGTCTCCGGTTACAGAGTCGACCTGGGACTGCTGTATTCGACGATGTGCCAGTCTGCCCAAGGCAGCCATAGTCTCTCCACGTGTTTGCTCTGCAGAAGCTGAGAGTCACCCCCGGACGAACACTGTTGAGTGTGTTAGCCTGCCTGTGACGTGGCAGTACCAGGAATCGTCTTATCTAGGGGCTGGCTGCTGGGAGAGACTAGCCACTGTGGTGCAGAGAGAGGAGAGTGATCTGCGGAATCACACGAGGCTCCTGCCTAGGGCTCCCAACCCTAGTATCGATCGTGGAGTGGCCTACACAGCGGAGCTGATCGGAACCTGCCAGCTACAGGCTGGATTTGTGGTTGAAGGCCTCCACGACGGTGCACCCAGTGGGACTGTGATTTGGCTGGCCTGTGGCCGGGGTAGATTCGCCGAGAGAATCTGAGGATTCATCGTGGGCCACGACGAAGAGAACCAGTGCTACTCATCGTGAGCACCGTGGAGCATCCCGTGTCTTCAGAGGAAGACGATTCTGTACATTGTGTATTTATACCCCCCATGTGACAGTTTATATATTTATTTATGGTGGTGGTGATTATATATAGATATCTAAGCATTTGTATCCCTTCCCCTTTAATTTACTTGTGTTATGGAACACACCCCTTGAAAGCCACTACTAACTTGGGGCCGGATACTCAAACTCTCATAACACCAGAGGAGAACCCGGTTACGCCCCAGCAGGGCCGTAACACACTGCTCACACAGTAATCTCTCTCACTGCTCACGCAGTTCTCTCGCTCACTGCTCACACTGTTCTCACTGCTAACACAGTTTTCTCTCTCTCACTGCTCACACAGTTCTCTCTCACTGCTCACACAGTTCTCTCTCACCGCTCACACAGTTCTTTCTCACTGCACACACAGTGATTTCTCTCACTGCTCATGCACTTCTCTCTCACTGCTCACACAGTTCTCTCCCATACTGCTCACACAGTTTTCTCTCTCTCATTGCTCATCCAGATCTCTCTCTCATTGCTCACACGGTTCTCTCTCTCATTGGTCACACGGTTCTTTCTCTCATTGCTCACACGGTTCTTTCTCTCATTGCTCACATGGTTCTCTCTTTCATTGCTCTCACACGGTCCTCTCTCTCATTTCTCACACAGTTTTCTCTCTCTCATTGCTCACACGGTTCTCTCTCTCATTGCACACACGGGTTTCTCCCTCATTGCTTACACAGTTTTCTCTCTCTCATTGCTCACACGGGTCTCTCTCTCATTGCTCACTCAGTTCTCTCTCTCACTGCTCATACAGTTCTCTCTCATTGCTCACACAGTTCTCTCCCTCACTGCTCACACAGTTCTCTCCTTAACTGCTCACACAGCTCTCTCCCTCACTGCTCACACAGTTTTCTCTCTCTCATTGCTCACACAGTTTTCTCTCTCTCACTGCTCACACAGTTCTCTCTCATTGCTCACACAGTTCTCTGCTGACTGCTCACACAGCTCTCTCCCTCACTGCTCACACAGTTTTCTCTCTCTCACTTCTCACACAGTTCTCTCCCTCACGTTTTACATTATTTTCTCTCACTGCTCACACAGTTCCCTCGTCACTGCTCACACAGTTCTCTCCCACTGCTCACACAGTTCTCTCTCTCACTGCTCACACAGTTCTCTTCTTCACTATTCACACAGTTCTCCCTCACTGTTCACACAGTTCTCTCCTCTCACTGCTCACACAGTTGTCTTCCCTCGCTGCTCACACAGTTATCTCTCACTGCTCCCACAGTTCTCTCTCACACTGCTCACACAGTTCTCTCGCATTGCTCACACAGTTCTCTTCCTCACTGCTCACTCAGTTCTCTCCCCTCACTGCTCACACAGTTGTCTCCCTCACTGCTCACACGGTTCCCTCTCTCACTGCTCACAGGGTTCTCTCTCTCACTGCTCACACAGTTCTCTATCTCACTGCACACACGGTTCTCTCTCTCACTGCTCACACAGTTCTCTCTCTCACTGCTCACACGGTTCTTTCACTGCTCACACAGTTCTCTCTCTCACTGCTCACATAGTTCCCTCTCTCACTGCTCACACGGTTCTCTCTCTCACTGCTCACACAGTTCTCTCTCACTGCTCACAGTTCTCTCTCTCACTCCTCACACAGTTCTCTCTCTCACTGCTCACAGTTTTCTCTCTCACTGCTCACACAGTTCTCTCTCACTGCTCTTACGGTTCTCTCTCTCACACTGTTCACACGGGTCTCTCCCTCACTGCTCACACTGTTCACACGGGTCTCTCCCTCACTGCTCACACAGTTCTCCCTCACTGCTCCCACAGTTCTCTCCCTCACTGCTCACAATTCTCTCCCTCACTGTTCACACAGTTCTCTCCCTCACTGCTCACACAGTTCTCCCTCACTGCTCACACAGTTCTCTCCCCTCACTGCTCACGCAGTTCTCTCCCCTCACTGCTCACACAGTTCTCTCTCACTGCTCACACAGTTCTCTCCCTCACTGCTCACACAGTTCTCTCTCTTTGCTCACAATGATCTCTTCCTCACTGCTCACACACATCTCTCCCTCACTGCTCACACAGTTCTCTATTGCTCACACAGTTCTTTCTCTCACTGCTCACACAGATCTCTCCCTCACTGCTCACACCGTTCTCTCTCTCACTGCTCACACGGTTCTCTCTCTCTCACTGCTCACACGGTTCTCTCTTTCACTGCTCACACAGTTCTCCTATTCACTTTTCACATAGTTCTGTCTCTCGCTGCTCACACAGTTCTCTAGCATTGCTCACACAGTTCTCTTCCTCAGTACTCACTCAGTTTTCTCCCCTCACTGCTCCCACAGTTGTCACCCTCACTCTCACACGGTTCTCTCGCTCACTGCTCACAGGGTTCTCTCTCTCACTGCTTATACTGTTCTCTCTCTCACTGCACACACGGTTGTCTCTCTCATTGCTCACACAGTTCTCTCTCTCACTGCTCACACGGTTCTTTCACTGCTCACACAGTTCTCTCTCTCACTGCTCACATAGTTCCCTCTCTCACTGCTCATACGGTTCTCTCTCTCACTGCTCACACAGTTCTCTCTCACTGCTCACAGTTCTCTCTCCCACTCCTCACACAGTTCTCTCTCTCTCTCCTCACACAGTTCTCTCTCTCACTGCTCACAGTTTTCTCTCTCACTGCTCACACAGTTCTCTCTCTCACTGTTCACACGGGTCCCTCCCTCACTGCTCACACAGTTCTCCCTCACTGCTCACACAGTTCTCTCCCTCACTGCTCACAATTCTCTCCCTCACTGTTCACACAGTTCTCTCCCTCACTGGTCACGCAGTTCTCCCTCACTGCTCACACAGTTCCCTCCCCTCACTGCTCACGCAATTCTCTCCCCTCACTGCTCACACAGTTCTCTCTCACTGCTCACACAGTTCTCTCCCTCACTGCTCACACAGTTCTCTCTCATTGTTCACACAGTTCTCTTCCTCACTGCTCACACACATCTCTCCCTCACTGCTCACACAGTTCTCTCTCATTGCTCACACAATTCTCTCTCTCACTGCTCACACAGTTCTCTCCCTCACTGCTCACACAGTTGTCTCTCACTGCTCACACGGTTCTCTCTCTCACTGCTCACACAGTTCTCCTATTCACTGCTCACACAGTTCTCTCTCTCACTGCTCACACGGTTCTCTCTCTCACTGCTCACACAGTTCTCTCTCTCACTGCTTACATAGTTCTCTCTCTCACTGCTCACACGGTTCTCTCTTTCACTGCTCACAGTTTTGTCTCTCACTGCTCACACGGTTCTCTCCCTCACTGCTCACACAGTTCTCTCCCTCACTGCTCACACAGTTCTCTCCCTCACTGCTCACACGGTTCTCTCTCTCTCACTGCTCACACGGTTCTCTCCCTCACTGCTCACATGCTTCTCTCCCTCACTGCTCAAACTATTCTCTCCCTCACTGCTTACACAGTTCTCTCTCACTGCTCACACAGTTCTCTCTCTCAGTGCTCACACGGTTCTCTCTCTCTCACTGTTCACACGGTTTTCTCTCTTTCATTGCTCACACGGATCTCTCTCTGATTGCTCACACGGTTCTCTCTCTCATTGCTCACACGGTTCTTTCTCTCATTGCTCACATGGTTCTCCCTCTCATTGCTCTCACACGGTTCTCTCTCTCATTGCTCACACAGTTTTCTCTCTCTCATCGCTCACACGGTTCTCTCTCTCATTGCTCACACGGTTCTCTCTCTCTCATTGCTCACACGGTTCTCTCTCTCATTGCTCACACGGTTCTCTCTCTCATTGTTCACACGGTTCTCTCTCTCATTGCTCTCAGGGTTCTCTAATTGCTCACACGGTCTTCTCTCTCTCATTGCTCACACGGTTCTCTCTCTCATTGCTCACACGGTTCTCTCTCTCATTGATCACACGGTTCTCTCTCTCATTGCTCACAGGGTTCTCTCATTGCTCACTCGGTTTTCTCTCTCTCATTGCTCACACAGTTCTCTCTCATTGCTCACACGGTTCTCTCTCTCATTGATCACACGGTTCTCTCTCTCATTGTTCACACGGTTCTCTCTCTCATTGCTCTCAGGGTTCTCTAATTGCTCACACGGTCTTCTCTCTCTCATTGCTCACACGGTTCTCTCTCTCATTGCTCACACGGTTCTCTCTCTCATTGATCACACGGTTCTCTCTCTCATTGCTCACAGGGTTCTCTCATTGCTCACTCGGTTTTCTCTCTCTCATTGCTCACACAGTTCTCTCTCATTGCTCACACAGTTCTCTCGCTCACTGCTCACACAGTTCTCTCCCTCACTGCTCACATTGTTCTCTCTCACTGCTCACACTGTTCCCTCGTCACTGCTCACACAGTTCCCTCGTCACTGCTCACACAGTTCTCTGTTACTTCTCACACAGTTCTCTCCCTGTTACGGACCCGAGTCCTGCGTCTGAGCACGGAGCATTGACGACAACGCCTTCTGTGAGTCAGCTCCCAAAACTCCCTTAAAATTGATGAAGCCATCTAGTGAGGACAGCATATACCGGCCACAGGGGCTGGTTTCCCGTCTTGATCAGCTCATAACATAGCCGCTGCTGACCTCTGGTGAGGTGGCGCTTAGACAGCAACGCCATCTATGGAGCAGAGAGGTGGACGTTTGTGTCTAAGCCTGTAAGTGAGGTGCCCTAGTGTGTCCCTAGTATTAATGACGTGTCTGATTACAGAGTCGACCTGGGACTGCTGTATTGAACGATGGATCAGTCTACCCAAGGCAGCCAAAGTCTCTCCACGTGTTTGCTGCAGAAGCTGTGAAGTCACCCCCGGACGAACACTGTTCAGTGTGTTAGCCTGCCTGTGACGTGGCAGTACCAGGAATCGTCTTATCTGGGGGCTGGCTGATGGAAGAGGCTACCCACTGTAGTGCGGAGAGAGGAGAGTGATCTGCGGAATCACACGAGGCTCCCGCCTAGGGTCTCGCAACCCTAGTATCGGTCGTGGAGTGGCCCACACAGCGGATTTGATTGGAACCTGCCAGCTACAGGCTGGATTTGTGGATGAAGGCCTCCACGATGGTGCACCCAGTGGGACTGTGATTTGGCTGGCCTGTGGCCAGGGTAGATTCACCGAGAGAATCAGAGGATTCATCGTGGGCCACGACGAAGAGAACCAGGGCTACTCATCTTGAGCACCGTGGAGCATCCTGTGTCTTCAGAGGGAGACTAATCTGTATATAATAAGTGTTGTTATAGCAAACCTGCATGTGACTGTGATATATTTATTTATAGTGGTGGTAGCAATATATATACAAAAGCAGTGCATTTGTATCCCTTCCCCTTTAATTTACTTGCGTTATGGAACACACCCCTTGAAAGCCACTACTAGCTTGGGGCCGGATACCCAAACTCTAATAACATCAGAGAAGAACCCAGTTGCGACCCAATAGGGCCGTTACACTCCCTCACTGCTCACACAGTTCTCTCACACAGTTCTCTCTCTCACTGCTCACACAGTTCTCTCCTCTCACTGCTCACACGGTTCTCTTTTTTACTGCTCACAGGGTTCTCTCTCTCACTGCTCACACAGTTCTCTATCTCACTGCACACACGGTTCTCTCTCTCACTGCTTACACAGTTCTCTCTCTCACTGCTCACATATTTCCCTCTCTCACTGCTCACACGGTTCTTTCTCTCACTGCTCACAGTTCTCTTTCTCACTACTCACACGGTTCTCTCCCTCGCTGCTCACACAGTTCTCTCTCACTGCTCACAGTTCTCTCTCTCACTGCTCACACGGTTCTCTCTCACTGCTCACAGTTCTCTCCCTCACTGCTCAAACAATTCTCTCCCTCACTGCTCACACAGTTCTCCCTCACTGCTCACAGTTCTCTCCCTCACTGCTCACACAGTTCTCTCCCTCACTGCTCACACGGTTGTCTCTTTCACTGCTCACACTGTTCTCTTTCTCACTGATCACACAGTTCTCTCATTCACTGCTCACATAGTTCTGGCTCTCACTGCTCACACGGTTCTGGCTGTCACTGCTCACATAGTTCTCTCTCTCACTGCTCACACGGTTCTCTCTCTCACTGCTCACACAGTTCTTTCTCTCACTGCTCACACAGTTCTCTCATTCACTGCTCACATAGTTCTCTCTCTCACTGCTCACTCGGTTCTGGCTCTCACTGCTCACACAGTTCATTCTCTCACTGCTCACACGGTTCTCTCTCTCACTGCTCACACAGTTCTTTCTCTCACTGCTCACACAGTTCTCTCTTCACTGCTCACATAGTTCGGTTCTCTCTCTCACTGCTCACAGTTCTGTCTCTCACTGCTCACACGGTTCTCTCTCTCACTGCTCACACGGTTCTCTCTCACTGCTCACACAGTTCTCTCTTCTTACTGCTCACACGGTTCTCTCCCTCACTGCTCACACAGTTCTCTCTCACTGCTCTCAGTTTTCTATCTCTCACTGCTCACAGTTTTCCCTCTCACTACTCACACAGTTCTCTCTCACTGCTCACAGTTCTCTCCCTCACTGCTCAAACAATTTTCTCCCTCACTGCTCACACAGTTCTGCCTCTCACTGCTCACACGGTTCTCTCTCTCACTGCTCACACAGTTCTCTCTCTCAGTGCTCACATAGTTCCCTCTCTCACTGCTCATACGGTTCTCTCTCTCACTGCTCACACAGAGCTCTCTCACTGCTCACAGTTCTCTCTCTCACTCCTCACACAGTTCTCTCTCTCACTGCTCACAGTTTTATCTCTCACTGCTCACACAGTTCTCTCTCACTGCTCACACGGTTCTCTCTCTCACTGTTCACACGGGTCTCTCCCTCACTGCTCACACAGTTCTCCCTCACTGCTTACACAGTTCTCTCCCTCACTGCTCACAATTCTCTCTCTCACTGTTCACACAGTTCTCTCCCGCACTGCTCACACAGTTCTCCCTCACTGCTCACACAATTCCCTCCCCTCACTGCTCACGCAGTTCTCTCCCCTCACTGCTCACACAGTTCTCTCTCACTGCTCACACAGTTCTCTCCCTCACTGCTCACACAGTTCTCTCTCATTGTTCACACAGTTCTCTTCCTCACTGCTCACACACATCTCTCCCTCACTGCTCACACAGTTCTCTCTGATTGCTTACACAATTTTCTCTCTCACTGCTCACACAGTTCTCTCCCTCACTGCTCACACTGTTCTGTCTCTCACTGTTCACACGGTTCTCTCTCTCACTGCTCACACAGTTCTCCTATTCACTGCTCACACAGTTCTCTCTCTCACTGCTCACACGGTTCTCTCTCTCTCACTGCTCACACAGTTCTCTCTCTCACTGCTTACATAGTTCTCTCTGTCACTGCTCACACGGTTCTCTCTCTCACTGCTCACAGTTCTGTCTCTCACTGCTCACTCGGTTCTCTCCCTCACTGCTCACACAGTTCTCTCTCACTGCTCACAGTTCTCTCTCACACTGCTCACACGGTTCTCTCCCTCACTGCTCACACAGTTCTCTCCCTCACTGCTCACACAGTTCTCTCCCTCACTGCTCACACAGTTCTCTCTCATTGCTCACTCAATTTTCTCTCTCACTGCTCACACAGTTCTCTCCCTCACTGCTCACACAGTTCTCCCTCACTGCTCACACGGTTCTCTCTCTCACTGTTCACACGGGTCTCTCCCTCACTGCTCACACAGTTCTCCCTCACTGCTCACACAGTTCTCTCCCTCACTGATGACAATTCTCTCCCTCACTGTTCACACAGTTCTATCCCTCACTGCTTACACAGTTCTCCCTCACTGCTCACACAGTTCTCTCCCTCACTGCTCACACAGTTCTCTCTCATTGTTCACACAGTTCTCTTCCTCACTACTCACACACATCTCTCCCTCACTGCTCACACAGTTCTCTCTCATTGCTCACACAATTTTCTCTCTCACTGCTCACACAGTTCTCTCCCTCACTGCTCACACAGTTCTGTCTCTCACTGCTCACACAGTTCTCTCTCTCACTGCTCACACAGTTCTCCTATTCACTGCTCACACAGGTCTCTCTCTCACTGCTCACACGGTTCTCTCTCTCTCACTGCTCACACAGTTCTCTCTCTCACTGCTTACATAGTTCTCTTTCTCACTGCTCACTCGGTTCTCTCTCTCACTGCTCACAGTTCTGTCTCTCACTGCTCACACGGTTCTCTCCCTCACTGCTCACACAGTTCTCTCTCACTGCTCACAGTTCTCTCTCACACTGCTCACACGGTTCTCTCCCTCACTGCTCACACAGTTCTCTCCCTCACTGCTCACACAGTTCTCTCCCTCACTGCTCACACAGTTCTCTCTCATTGCTCACACAATTTTCTCTCTCACTGCTCACACAGTTCTCTCCCTCACTGCTCACACAGTTCTCCCTCACTGCTCACACGGTTCTCTCTCTCACTGTTCACACGGGTCTCTCCCTCACTGCTCACACAGTTCTCCCTCACTGCTCACACAGTTCTCTCCCTCACTGATCACAATTCTCTCCCTCACTGTTCACACAGTTCTATCCCTCACTGCTCACACAGTTCTCCCTCACTGCTCACACAATTCCCTCCCCTCACTGCTCACGTAGTTCTCTCCCCTCACTGCTCACACAGTTCTCTCTCACTGCTCACACAGTTCTGTCTCTCACTGTTCACACGGTTCTCTCTCTCACTGCTCACACAGTTCTCCTATTCACTGCTCACACAGTTCTCTCTCTCACTGCTCACACGGTTCTCTCTCTCTCACTGCTCACACAGTTCTCTCTCTCACTGCTTACATAGTTCTCTCTGTCACTGCTCACACGGTTCTCTCTCTCACTGCTCACAGTTCTGTCTCTCACTGCTCACTCGGTTCTCTCCCTCACTGCTCACACAGTTCTCTCTCACTGCTCACAGTTCTCTCTCACACTGCTCACACGGTTCTCTCCCTCACTGCTCACACAGTTCTCTCCCTCACTGCTCACACAGTTCTCTCCCTCACTGCTCACACAGTTCTCTCTCATTGCTCACTCAATTTTCTCTCTCACTGCTCACACAGTTCTCTCCCTCACTGCTCACACAGTTCTCCCTCACTGCTCACACGGTTCTCTCTCTCACTGTTCACACGGGTCTCTCCCTCACTGCTCACACAGTTCTCCCTCACTGCTCACACAGTTCTCTCCCTCACTGATGACAATTCTCTCCCTCACTGTTCACACAGTTCTATCCCTCACTGCTCACACAGTTCTCCCTCACTGCTCACACAGTTCTCTCCCTCACTGCTCACACAGTTCTCTCTCATTGTTCA